AGCTCCGTCGGAGGGTGGGAGGCGCGGAACGCGCGAAGGGCGTGCTCAAATCGGAGGGACAAGAAGAAGAAGAGGAGGGAGGAGGAGGGAGGAGGAGGAGGAGGGAGGAAGGCGATGCGCGGCGCTGCGGAGAGAAATCAAGGACCCAAGTTGGCCCAACTCCACAGGAGGGTTGGGGAAAAATGAGAATATGAGTAGGAGGAGGAGGGAGGAGGAAGGGGGAGACGCGCGGCGCTTAGGAGAGAAACCAAGCTCTAAACTCCGCAAGAGAAATGAGGAAAACCCGACGAGGAAGGAGAGGAAGGGGAACAACGGACGCGCGGTGCTGCAAATTCGAAACGAGGACGTGGTTCCACTGGATGGCTGGGGGGGAACAGCAAAGAAACATGCTTGGGCCTGGGAGCCCCGCGAATGAACCCAGCACTAAAGGACACCGTGGCTCCAGGGAGCACAAACCTGAGGCCGATCCAAGGAGGTCCAGGCACTTTTCTGTGAACGGTCCACCCCGCAGTCGCATGTCAGGGGAACGCAACAATACGAAGCATCAAAGCAAAGACGCAGACGCACGCTGATCAATGATGTTCGGTGCCTCCTTGCCCATTGAGTGATAAGCGCAACGACGGTGTCGATGTGTAAATTCGAACGCGTTTCTTTACGTTCGGCGATGACGGGCGTCAGAGGGGGTGGGCGAGCGGGGGGTATGACGTAACGCCCCCACCACGCCGTGTGGCTCCGGTACCGCAGCCGCACCCGCGCGCGCGACGCGACGAGCGACGAACGACGAGCGACGACGACGACGACGACGCGAGCAGCATGTAAGTCGCGATATGCCCCACTGCGCCTGTGTACACCACAGCGCTCGCGTGCATCACATCGCGCGTGTATACCACAGCGCCTGCGCACACCGCAACAACAGTGTGCAACGCAGCGCCTGTGTACACCACAGTGCTTGCGTACACCACAACGCCGGTGTACATGTGTACACCGCAGCAACCATGTGCTACATGTGTACACCGCAGCTACCATGTGTACACCGCAACTACCATGTACACCAGCCTGCGTGCATAGAACCGGTAGAAGGAGCATGTACGTGAGGATCTGCTGCGGACAACTAGACGCCACGCCAATAAAGAACTGATGATCACATGCGACGTTCTTCCCTCCTCCACCACCACCTCCTCCTCCTCCTCCTCCTCCTCCTCCTCCTCTTCCTCCTTACCCCCTGTCGTGCGGGTTTGCGCTACAGCGCATGTGCGCATCTCAGCGCACACCGCAAAATGGTCGATTGAATCGGTCCACTTGGTTCTCGCACGGCCAAGTTAGCTGGAGCCTCCTGGACGCAGATGGGAGGAGTTAGGGTGATGCGGAGGGACTCGGGAGGACTCCAGCGGCGCCCCGTTGTCCATGAGGGCAATGTTTCTATTTTTTTCTGTGGAAGCCACTAGCGTTCCAGTTTGTCATAAGGATTCGCTTTAACATTATATATGCAACAGTGGTGCTGTGTTGCACACGGTTGCTGCGGTGCACACAGGCGCCGTGGTGTACACGGGCATTACAATGCACGCAGGCATTGTGGTGTATACTGGTGCTGTGTTGCACACGGCTGATGTGGTGTACGCAAGCGCTGTGGTGTGCACAAGAGCTGTTGTGCCCGCAGGCACGGTGGCACAAACTGACGCTGTGTTGCACGCGGCTGCTGTGGAGTACATAGGCGGTGTGGTGTACACAGGCGCTGTGGTGCACGCAGGCACTGTGGTTTACACAGGCGTTGTGGTGCAAATCGCCACCTACATGCTGGCGCTACCTGTCCACCGTCATTCCAGAGCATTCCCAGACGCCGCCGGCGCGAAACGTGACGTCATCGACCCCTTCCACCCCCCTCCTAGATGATTGCTGTCATCGGCCCGGAATAAAAAACAGGCTTAAGCCGCTTCCGCGCGCACGACGACTATGAGCGACGAGCGTCGCGCCACGAGTGACGACGACGACGACGACGACGACGACGACGACGACGACGACGACGACGACGACGACAACGACTGCGGACCAGACTCCAATGCGGATTCTTACGCGGACACCTACGCGGATCCCAATGCTCACGGCGGCAGTGCCCGGAGCGCACTGGGGGGGGGAGCGTTATGTCATGGGGGGGGGAGCGGGGGTAATGACGCTCGTCATGCCCCAAGCAATAAAGAAACGGGCTCTTCCCATCTTACTCCCCTCGAAGCAGCACGTGAGCACGGTGGAGCTAAGGGATAACAGATTTCGCGTTGTAGTAAGACTCCACACATGTTCACTCGTAAGGCCTCAATCGGAGCAATGGCGGCTGAGTGTCAATCGGTGGCTCCACACCCTGGCAAGCTACCTCCTCAAAGGCACAAACAGCAGCTGCAGCGTACGGATCCGCAACAATGTTGTGGTCAGTGCGAGTGGAAACTAAACTTCGTCTAACCCAAAATCGCGTGGATGCCGAAACCCATGAACCACTTTGGAAATCCCAGCACGAGATTATGGAACGAACCACGCGCAATGCGTTGTTTTCGATAAGAGCTGTTCTGATAAATGGGTCGCGGAACCCATACTTGGCAGCCGAAAGAGTACTGAACCATAAAACCTTCAGTACCAAGCCGACTGGCTCGGGCAACGGGTCCTTGGATCTAGTGATCCGACGTGTCAGGTGCAATAATCCCCATGGTGCTGTCGCGCGCGTCCGCCGGACAAGGAATGACCTTTTGGTCAAGAGGTCCAAGTGTGCGAACCAATTATCTGGTGATCTGATCAGTAGGAACTTGTGATATCATCAGGTGATGATCTGACCACGTGGGGTCGGACGGATCTTTGATCTGGCGGCCAGCGGGCCCAATCGCGCGAAAAAACACACCATATGATTTGGTGATATGATCGAATGGCCAACACTTCTCGAATAACGCAGCTTGTACCGTCTTGCTTCAAGCCAGCTGATCTCCAGCCAACGTCACTACGCATCTTCAGCCGGCAACATGTACACACATACACCCAGCGCATATATACAAGAACACAGATATCGCGATGTGTACGTGTTCATATATGAGCGTTACAATGAAAGTGTGACCCTAAATAGGCTCCCTTGACTGCGTGCCTTCCACCACGACGCATCACAGATTCAACACATGTAACCATAAACTAATCGCAGCGGGATCAGCTGCTTCGAATGACTTCTACTTCATGCCGAACTGTCCCATGTGGTTCCGCCTGCTTGCATCTCGATGGGCTCAACTAGTAGCGAACGCGTCGCAACTGCTTTCGACCTGTGCCAATGTGTGAACGTTGTGCAGCTGACTTTAAGCCAAGTTTAATAGTTGTCTGTATATGTTCCTTCCCACGTGATTGCCATTGATACGATTGTTGCGTTGTCATGTTTGTCATGGTCGATGCTGGATTACTACCACTGTACACCACACCTACGAGAAAGACTATGGCGTCAACTGGTTCCGATGGCCTTCCTCAAAGTGAACCAAACAGGTAGATACGGCATAACTATCAATGGTACATGAAGTGTTCTACCACGCACAACGCGATCGAACGCCAATTGCGCATGCTCGTCGCAATCTCCCCCCGAACGAAAAAAAGGTACGACGATAGGGCCAACCGCACAACGAACCTTTTCTCGAAGAGAACGGCACCAGGCGCGGGGGACGGGGCTTTGCAATCGCCTGGGGAGCGCCGTACAAAAGAGGGGAAAAATACATGTCGACAAATTTGCAACTGATTCCCAATGGCGGCGGGTCGCTTCTGTTGGGTCAACTGCTATTACCCTGTGCTGACATGTTTGTGACTGGTTCAAATTGATCCCAGGACATATCAGATGTAGCATAATATTCAATAGAAGCTAGCTGCCGCCAACTATTTTCGACATTCGACCATTGAACCCAGTTGCACCGAACTGGTGTGTAATGAGTTGTCCTGCTTGAAAACGTACGAAGAATGTACTTGCCCTACACAATGGGCACGAAGTAAATTCTGCTGACGTCCACAGAGTTCAACTGCTCTCGACGATTTTCAACAAATGTTTACACATATATTACAAATATAGTGTACATTCAGATATTCATAACACCTGGATTAAATTAGTCTCAACAAATGCTGAATGTGTTCAACTGGTTCCTTCTATCATGCAATGACTCCCTACGTTTCCTAAAGGTGTTCATTCACTTCCGCGTCGGCTGCTCTCGTGATCGGATGATCTAGTCGGACGGGCCAAGTGATGGTACCGGATCGCGTCAGATGGTTTCAGTTGGTCCAAGAAGGTTGCACAGCACCGAAGTGAAACTAACTGCTCCCAATGCTTTGCCTAGTCCAGCTGAGGCCATTGACAATAAGCTGGGGTTGTTCATGCAAATTGAACTAGTTGAACTGTTGGTATTGTCCTGGCTTCTCCTTTGAACTGGCTCCAGCTGTCCACATTTAACGCATTCGTCGGCCCCGAATAGTTCACATTGGTCCATGCTAAGTCAACGAATCACATGAACACAAACGAAGATCATTCGGTTGTACGTGGGCCTGGTGCTCTGTAGATCTGGTTTGTCGGGCTGGACGCTGGACGACTCTGTTACTGGACCAGGTGGCAATCCGATTTGGTGATCCGAACTCCTGGGTTAGGCGACCGGACACTCCAGCGATGTGGCGGCATTTATCTTGAAACATATGATACGGGCTCTTCCTGAGGCGTAGAACTAGTGCCGCCAGACTCTGGAACGGTTCGCCAAGCATTTCAGGGTATCGCTCTCTGGCAGGGGCACTGCTCAACCAATGGTCCCACAGACTATATCGGGCTCTCGACCGATGATTCCGGATACACTGGGCCGACGATAGATACATACGAATGTTCATCCTCTTGCCGAAGACACCTGCGAACTGGTGAGCCACACGAACAAGCCAGTGCCTTCGGCCTGCAAAAAAATGCCCTGCAGCAGCGCGGGGCGGCGCGATTTGGCTCCCAATGACCGAGATGTCCGTGGGGGTCAGGAAGCCATCCTCTCGGGCGGCGCAGGCACGCGTTACACCAGCTATCTCTCGGTGCGGAGTCGGAACACGGAAAAGCAATCGCAAAACGAAACGAAACGGAAACCACAGCACAAAAGTGCCGAGAAACCAACCAGAGCGGTTGGCGGCCGAGGCGGAAGTGCGGCCCCCGAGGGCTCGAGCGCAGATGGCCAGGCTCACTCAGCATCTCGTCCAACGTCGCCTCTCGCTGCATTTAGGGTCGTCAGGCTGGGATTCGGCACTGTCAGCCTACATTTTGACTTCACTCGCGGCCCATGCGGCCCCTTCGCGGAGCAGGAGACCCACAGTTCTATGCTCCACTGCGGTCCTCCTCCTCCTTCTCCTCCTCCTCCTCCTCCTCCTCCTCCCGCCCCTCCTCGTGCTGTTGCTGCTGAGGTTGCTGATGCTGCCGGCCAGCCGGCCTGCCTGCCTGCCTGCCGGCCTCGCCGGCCTCCCTCCCTCCCTCCATACATCCATCCCTCCCTTCCCCGTCTTCTTATTACTATTCGTACGTTTATGTTCGTATGCCTCTTCTTCTTACTCTTATTGCTATGATTCTTACTACTCGTATTAGTCTGTTATGTGTAGTCTAATAATGACGAGTCTTGGTATTATGTTATTATCTAATTACTGCGTATTACTATAGCTCGTGATATTATCAATAGGTTTACCAAGAATAGTATTATTGTTATTCTGATTCATAATATGATTATTAGTCGTACTACTATTAACTTCAGCGGTAGCATTGAAGTACTATTATTAGTAGTAGTAGTAGTAGTAGTAGTAGTAGTAGCGGCAGCAGTCGTAGAAGTAGTAGTAGTAGTAGTAGTAGTAGAAGTAGTAGTAGTAGTAGTAGTAGTAGTAGTAGTAGTAGTAGTAGTAGTACTAGTACTAGTAGTAATAGTAGTAATAGTAGTATAGTAGTAGTAGTAGTAGTAGTAGTAGTAGTAGTAGTAGTAGTAGTAGTAGTAGTAGTAGTAGTAGTAGTAGTAGTAGTAGTAGTAGTAGTAGTAGTAGTAGTGGTAGTAGTAGTAGTAGTAGTAGTAGTAGTAGTAGTAGTAGTAGTAGTAGTAGTAGTAGTAGTAGTAGTAGTAGTGGTAGTAGTAGTAGTAGTAGTAGTAGTAGTAGTAGTAGTAGTTTGGGTAGTAGTAGTAGTAGTAGTAGTAGTAGTAGTAGTAGTAGTAGTAGTAGTCGTAGTCGTAGTCGTAGTAGTAGTAGTAGTAGTAGTAGTAGTAGTAGTAGTACTAGTACTAGTACTAGTACTAGTACTAGTACTAGTACTAGTACTAGTACTAGTACTACTGGTAGTAGTAGTAGTAGTAGTAGTAGTAGTAGTGGTAGTAGTAGTAGTAGTAGCAGCAGCAGTCGTATTATTAGTGTTGTTATTGTGAACAATATTACTATTATCCTCCTCGTCCTCCTCGTCCTCCTCCTCCTCTTGATCACTCGTCCTTCCCAGGAGGCAGCACCCGTGGGAGAGGCACGCAGGAGGGCAAGTACAGCAATACGTAGCCCCCCGCAGTTGCGGATAAGAGTAAGGGGGCGGCGGGGACGTCGGCAGTCTGCGAGGCTCTGAAGAAGCCCGCCGCAGGCGCAGAATTTTTCAAGCTATACAACGATGCCGCCGCAGGCGCCGATATTCTTGTTAAAACAACGTGGGTGGGTCGCGGGCTGGGTCGCAGGTGGGTCGCGGGTGGGTCGACGGTGGGTCGCGGGTGGGTCGCGGGGTGGGGGGTGGGTCGCGGGTGGGTCGCGGGTGGGTCGCGGGGTGGGTCGCGGGTGGGTCGCGAGGGTCGGGGGGGGGTCGCGGGCCAGGTCGCGGGGAGAGGACGCAACAAAACAAGCAGAATCCTCGCCGTGGATCCCCACTTCAGCCACGCACCCAGGGACAATGACCGTTCGGCCCCCTCACTCTGACTGAGTGGGTCGCGGGGTGGGTCGAGGGGTGGGTCGCGGGTGGGTCGCGGGGTGGGGCGTGTGGGTCGCGAGGTGGGTCGCGGGTGGGTCGCGGGGTGGGTCGCGGGGCGAGTCGCGGAGTGGGTCGCGGGTGGGTCGCGGGTGGGTCGCGGGTGAGACGCGGGGTGGGTCGCGGGGTGGGTCGCGGGGTGGGTCGCGGGGTGGGTCGCGGGGTGGGTTGCGGGAGGGTCGCGGGGTGGGTCGCGGGTTGGTCGCGGGTGGGACGACGACAAAAAAACAAACAAAAACAACGCAAAAAGCAGAATCCTCACCACGGATCCCCACTTCAGCCAGGCACCCCAGGGACAATGAGTGACCGTTCGACCCCCTCACTCTGACATCTGTGCAGCACGTGGGCCTCCGAGTCACGCCTCAGGCCCCCCACTCAGTTCTCGGGTGTTGCAAGTAGCGCCCCTGGTCCCCAGGATCGCCAGTGAGGCCCAGACGGAACCCAGAGCACCCCTCACGAACCCAGAGGGCCCCAGGGAAGTCAGGGACTTCACACTGGCTCGAAAATCCCGGGTCACCTGGGGCCAAGAGCACCTCTGGCAACCCCCGACCCCCCCCTTCGCAAAAGCTGCAGGAAACAACGCGATGGTGCACTGGCCCTCACAAGCGCGCCCCCCGCCCGGCACCCTGCCAAACGGAAAGGAGCAAGCCAGTCGACATTCCAAAGAGCGGGCTTGGCTCGGATCGGCAGGTTCCTGCCAAACGAGCTGGAACGTGCTGAGGCAGAGGCCTTTCCGGCAGCGCCCAGTCAGACGCGCGCACAAGATCGCAAGGAAAGGCAAGCCACAGTCAAGAAGCCCTGCAGATAATTAAGAGGATGCTGGGCCTCGCTAGCGTGGCACAAAAGGTCAACTGCCTGCGCCACACATCCGCCAGCCCCGGCACAGGTAAAAGTGGCAGGTAGCACCCCCCCCAGTCCAAGCTGCAGCTGAAAAGGCCGAAACGTCCAGGACCATGCGCTGGGCCAGCTTGAGACCCAGAATCGGCGTCCCCACGCCTCCCTCTTCCCCTTCCCCACCTCCCGTCCAGCTCCCTCACCTCCCCTGCCCGTTTCCCCGTGAGAATCGACCCCTCTCTTCGCGATCCAGGCCAGAACTCGAGCAACACGACGGCCCCTCCCCGAGGCGAGGGCCCCTCCCCGAGGCGGCCAGATGATCGGGCAGCCAGCCACACGTTTCCTTGGCGGCGAGGGAGCAGCGGTCGCCGATCCTCCGGATCGAGGCGGTACAGAAGAGTCAGTCTGCCCATCGTCTGGAAGCATTCCACCCTGCGGAGGGCGCAGGGAGGAAGTCAACAACGAAAAACAATCACCGACAAGGAGATGACGGACGTAAAGACCCGCGCTGTGCGCGCACACCGACCAGGCACTGAAACAGCACATCACACGCTGAAGGTGCCGCTTTCGACTGTTGCGCATACTCGAGAGACTGGGCATCAACGGCCAGAACAACTTGCACGTCAGTGAGATACTGGCTTTCTCGTGCCTGGGGGCAGCGCATGTGCACGAAGAGTGGTCGTGCTGCAGACGCTGTACCGAGACAGGGCCCATTCTGGCAGATGGAGCACGAAGGCAGATGAGGCAAGGGCAGGAAGGCAATCAGACAAGGAGACAGGCGGGTAACCTCCCCTCGCACCAGTACGCGTTCTCGACGGGGAAGCCGTCGAGGCAGAACGTGGCATCGTCCTGGCAGCGTGGCGAGAGGCAGCAATACAGACCCCTCGATCACTGGCAACGTCCCCAGGGACAAACTATGCGCCAGGCTTCCTCCAAAACCAACAAGGCACTCGCGCCGATATCGTGCTGCTTGGCGCCCTGCAGACAGCAAACAGCAAGGCTGAGATGCCGTCCCACCTGACATTCCCTGGATCCAGCAAGACAACAGGAAAGATTAAGGGTCGGCACTTCAGCTCATCTCAGCGAGGTCGAACGAGCGACCTCCCTTACCTCGGGCACGCGCTGACATGGAATGCCGAAAACATGAAGCCAGTGCCGCCTGCTTCGGCGACGGAGCGCGTCGATGCTGTATGGAAGCGGGACCCATCGACCTACTCGCCTTAATCCATGCTTGCGCTCCCTCGATCCCCCCCCCCTCGGCCTCACCCCACTCCCCCTCCCCTGACGGCGGCCCAAGGGCCGCCCTGCTCACGCTCCGCCGAGGACAGGGGGCGTCAGAACAGTCGAACGTCCTCTCTGCCTCTCTCCCCGTCTCCCCCTCTGCCTGCCCCTCCCTCCCACTCCCCCGTCCCAAGGACGGGGGAGAGGGAGGAGGGAGCCGGTCGGGGAGGGAGGCTGGGGAAAAGGAAAAGTGGCAGCGTCCCCCTCTCCCTCCTCTTACCCTCCCGTCCGGCGGCGCCTCTCGTCAGGAGCCATCGGCGCCGCTTACAAAACAGGTTTCCACCCTGGCGGGAGGGTTGAGGTCGGGGAAGGCGCGGCAGGAGGAGGGCCCCTCCCACATCGCTCATCCTTTCTCTCTCCTCGCTGCTTCCTCCGCCCCTCTCACTCCTGCATCACCCCTCCTTTCTCTCCTGCTATTCCTCCAACCTCTTCCTTATCCCCCTCGTCCTCGTTGTTATCGTCGCCCGCATTCCCCTCCTTCTCCCCAACCCAGCCCTAGACCTTCCGCAGGCTTGGCAGACAAGAGCGGCCAATGGGAGACAGCGGCGAGCGACACGAATGCAGGAATAGCATGCCGGCCGAGCTTCCTTGTGGTAGCCCGGCGGATTGCCGTACAGCGTGTCGTAGCCCTGCAGAGAGGCCGCGAGAAGGGAGGAGAGGATGGTAGAGATGAGGAGACGGGGGAGGAGAGGGAGGAGAAGGAGGAGGACGAGGAGGAGGTGGTGAAGGTGGAGGTTGAGGACAGAGGCGAAAGGCGAGGGAGAGACCTAGACGGTGCTTCTCGGGCCAGCGCCATTGGACGGCAGCTGCCATCGTACCTGGCGGGGGGCGTTCCCGCGAACCCTGTGAAGTCATCACCAGGCAGACCAGCAGCACGATGTGCATCGTGAAGAGGTGAAGCAGCGACCACAGCGGCAGCACTTCTGGCTGCAGCCCACAAAAACACCGGGCCAAGACCCCTGGCGGGAGCTTGGGCCAGGACAAGAGGACGATGGGGCACCATCTCATATCTAGCGGTGTCAACATTCAGTCATCGCTCAACGGCAAGAACTGCCCAGCGGGGCAAGAAGCCCGCCAAGAGGGCGACGGCGGATGGAAGAGGACTGCGAGCGAGCGCACAACGCTCCAGAGATACATCAACGTCATGTGGACGAAGAGCGGCCGACGGAAAGCATCGGGGTGATTGTCAAATCCGCCGACCCTGTCGGCATGTGCGAGAGGCTGGTTCGTTTGACTCGTCGTCGTCATCGTCGTCGACCTCGTCGTCGTCGCCGCCGACGCCGCCGCCGCCGTCGTCGTCGTCGTCGTCGTCGACGTGATCGTCGTCGCCACCGCCGCCGCCGCCGTCGTCGTCGTCGTCGTCGTCGCCGTCGCCGTCGCCGCTCCCCCCTTTTCTCTGGACCCTCCTCCTTGAGCGCGCCAGCCACAGCAGCAGAACAGCCTAAGCGAAATCGAGCAACGTCGTACTTGAGTCGAAAGGAAGTCTCTTCCCGTTGATCCCTTCCCCGCGGGGGGGTGGGGGGGGTCCCGTGAGGGGTAGGGGGGGGTCCCGCGGGGTGGTCCCGGGTCAGCATACCATCCCCCCGGGAGGTCCAGGCAACGAGGCCACCCAGAGGCCCTCACGAGGCCCCGAGGCGCTCCCAAGGACAGGCGCCCCAAAGGAACTGCCAGGAAGCCCCTGAAGGCGCCCAAAGGGCTCCCAAGACACCCCCAAAACTTCCCCGCTGAGGCTCCCGAGAGCGCTCCAAAAAGACTTCAAGAAGCATCCGGGCCCTCCTCCTTAAGCGTGCCAGCCAAAGCAAAACAGCTAATGCGAAATTGAGCAACGTCGTAGTTGAGTTGAAGGGAAACCTCCTGCCTCGGACCCCTTCCCCGCCAGGGAAGTGGAGGTCCCGGGAGGGGCAGGGCTGGGGGTCCCTGGGAGGTCCCAGGTCAGAACATCCCCTCCCCAAGACGTCCCGAGGCCCAAGAGGCCCCCCAGAGGCCCCCATGAGACCCCGGGCGCCCCCAAGGAACCGCCAGGAAGCCCCAGGAAGCTTCCAAAAGGCTGCCGAGACACCCCCAAAACTTCGTGCGGGCTCTTGGGCAACTCTTGGGAACCTCGTGTTGCCTCTTGGGCACCTCTTGGGAACCTCTTGGGAGCATTTGATCCCAGCCTTCCCGAATGCCTCTTCCATCGTGGGGGTCGTCGTCCAAGGTCGGTGGCACTGGCCATAAGGCCTTAGCAATTGGAGCTTGTCAGCATGGGTAGGCCAGCGTTGGTCGCGGACTGGCTGAGAGTGGGCTATGTGTCCCCGCAAGTGTCAGTGGCAGCGTGTGGGCTATGTGTCCCCGCAAGTGTCAGTGGCAGCGTCTGCCACGACTTGCCATCAGCAGGGGTGGGAGTACTGGCCTGAGAGTGAACTGTGACTGACCACAGGGGAGCGAGGTACATGACGTGGCACATCGCACAGGGCGAGGCGAAGGGCGGTCTCTTGTAAACCTGCCACTTTCAGGTGGTTGCGGCCAGAAGCTGAGGTCACCCACGCTTTCATGCAGGCAGGGGCAGTGGTGACGCCAGCCACAGACGGACAAAAAAGATAGGCAATCTCAGAATTCTCACTGGCTGGCAACACTTGTTGTGAAAGATACCTAGTGAGTGTGCGTCCGCAGGCAGGAGGGGCAGGAAGGTACGGTCGGGTCGCGGTGGCGGCCCAAGCAACACGCTATGCCCTGCAAGCAGATAGCGCATCCTTCTGCACCGTGGGGCGGGAGGCTGGGAAACGCTCGGGACGTTGACGCCTGGAGACTTAGGCGTTTAGCGTGTCGCGCCAAGGCGTGGTGCTTGAGGGAAGCCCGTTTGGGGAAAGAAGAGATGTCCGCGAAGTTTCTGGGCACCAGGAGGGTCCCAAGAGGGCCCCAAGAGGAACCCAAGAGAACCCAAAGAGGACTCAAGAGTGCCCCCAAGAGAGAGAGGACCCCAAGAGGAACCTAACAAGGGAGCATCGAGACGGTCCACACCAGCGTTCGCACAAGCAAAATTATCAAATCCGGCACGCGTGAACTCATTCTGATCTAAAACGCATGCAAGCCTACACCCACGTAAACACCGACTGAGACCAGCTCACGCATTCTTCAAGCCTGTCCCACCAGCGCACACCAACGTTTCCACATAGGCCTGCGAGTTGGGGCGAGCGGAATGGGGTGAATAGTGAATGTTGGAGAGGTTGGTTGTGAAGAGAACTGTGGGCACAACACGGCATCACAGTAGCATCAGACAACGGCAAGGCATCAGCAATTAGGAAGGTACGCTTCCTGGTCGTAGTCGACATCATCCACAAGCTCGGGCTTGTCCTCCCTCGATCATTGCACCAGCGACTAGACGCACCCCGTGGTTCCCACGAATGCTCGCGCATCCACATATCGAAGCTCCGTCTTGAATCGTCTCATGCAATATTCCTTATTGCCTAGACGTCCTGCGCGCTCGCATGCAGCATTTAGAAGCTTCCATTGCCCTCTCGACAATATGTTCCGCATCTCGCATCCGCATCCCGGTCCATACCCTGCCCGTCCTGCCCTGCAGGCTGCCTGGATACGAACCTATCGTGCGACTAACCACCACCTTAGGCCAAATTCTGCAACGGCCGCATTCCACTGCCAGCGCCCTTGCGTGCCCGCGGGCGCTCGTGCGACTATTTCTCCACTCTCGCGCAGACTTGCATGCCGCTGCCCGAGCTCTCGCCGTCGTTCGGACGGAGCGGCGCAGGCAACGCGTTGGGCCAAGGACTCACCCACACAGTCTCCAGCCTGGCGGCCATCTCTCATTTCGATCTCTGGGGCGCCAGTGGCCAGCTCTCAGTCGCTCTCAGTTCGCTCTGGGTGCTGGGGCTCGTGAGTTCCCGGGACAGAAATCGACCCTCAGAAGGAACTCGCGGGCCCTCGCGCGGCCTGCGGTTCCGCCCGAACAACCACCCAGCAAGCCCTCTGTATCCCCTCCCTGCTGGCCCGGGCTCCGCCACTGACCGGCCCGCCGCTTTAAGACAGCGATAGGCATGGTCTTGCCGATGGGGACATTAATAGACCAGGACATCGGCACGCTCGAAACACTCTGCTTTCTTAACTTCTTCCCGAAAGAACTGGCGAAATCTGTGTTTGCAATGTCCTGGTGTCCGGGGCCCTGAGAAACCAGGGAACAGGGCTGCCCCGGCAAATCGCGGGCCCACGCGCCAGCGCGGCCCAAAGTCGAAACTGCAGGCTACGGTGTCTTTGGCTACTCTGGGGTTCTGCCCCTGGGGACGCCGAGAGGCCTTGGATGCTGCCCGTCCTGCATACCAGCCATGCCTGGGGCCACGTCCCTCGAGATCACGACAGCGGCAGCCATGGCCTGTGGGCAGCAAGCAAGAGCGCCGCAGAACCCAGCTCCCCCTTGCCCCAAGTTCCCCAGAGCGCCTTTGCGCTCTACCACTCCTCTGGTGTTCCAGGAAGGGGTGAGGATGGTGGGCCCACTCCGACCATCGCAACCAGTTCCCTGGAAGTGGACGAGCTTGGTTCGCGGGGCCTCAGGCAGCGTGTTCACCAACAGCTCTCGCAGACGAGAACAGTA